CCCCAACAGCCTGATACATTTAGACCGATCCCCTTAACTAGTTGTCTTTGTAAAACTTTTGAAAGAATGATACTTAACAGATTGTACTTCAAAATCAGGCACCAACTTTCCCCTTACCTCTATGGGTTCATGAAAGGTAAAAGTGTGAAGAACTGTATTTCCACCTTTCTCACTGCACATACCTCTACTAGTTTTACCACATTTCTTGATCTAAAATCTGCATTTGATATTGCAAACACAACTGTTATACTACATGAACTAGCCAAAATGAATATTAGTGGTAGCCTACTCTGCTGGATAATAGGATACCTGTCAAATAGAGTATCCTCTGTCCTCTATTTAGGCTTTAGAAGCGAGTCTAAAGAAATGTCTTTAGGTACACCGCAGGGAGGAGTTCTTAGTCTCATGCTATTTAATGTTCTGATTAATGCTCTCCTAAATGCTCTACCTGCCTCACCTAAACATATAGCTATAAGCTATGCTGATGACATCATGATCCATACAACAGGGCATAAGAAGATGAGTACCATGCTTAATGAAGTTCAAGCAATTTGTAATCGAATAGGCCTCATAATATCTTCCTCTAAAACAACGATATTAGCAAGCAAACAACATCCCCCACCCATTTGCAGGGTGAAAACATTAGCTATTTTAAAACTTACAGGTATCTTGGTGTAGATGTACCCTTTAACAAATCCACTATACCACAACTAAATAAGATATGCAAAGATAGGCTAAATGCTCTCAAAGCTGTTGCTGGTTACAACCCCAACTATGGTGCTAATGTGAGAATCGTGAGAATGATGTACATAGTTAATGTTAGATCCTTAATTGATTATGCTGCTCCCATGTTATATATTAGCTAGAGAAAGTTCTCTCCGACCCTTGGGGTTAATGCAAAATGAAGCTCTCAGAATTATTCTTGGCTGTCTCAAATCTACAAAGGTTCTTAACATGAGGAAGGAGCTTGGAATTTCTAGTACAGTATAAGTGATAGGATTATTGAGATTAACACTGTACTCGGTATTAGAATGTTAAGAAATGAACCAGACACTGTCACAACGAATTTTACTAAATGTCTAGAATACACACGGATTTAAATGGATTGTGAAAACATACAATTACATTAAGTTTTATAACCTGTATGAACTGTATCACTGTGGACAACAAGAGCATTTCACCCCTCCATAGAAGATGCGTTCAATTAATATCACATACCTGCAAGTCCCTCGAAAGAAGCTCGTTGCTAGTAATCCCGTCCTTAAATCACTTGTTAAAGCAACTGCTCAAGAAGAAATTTCTCGCCTAGCTGCATCTGCTCTTGTTGCCACCTCCATAGTTAAGAACGATAATAAATCTGTTGAACTAGGCATAAGAATTAACAACTGGGGCGTCTACACTGCAAACTAAATTGTTTGCAATCCTAATGGCGCTAAAGCTAACTTACGACACTGAGCTTGACTCTATCATCATTACTGATTCTATGTCATCATTGAAGGCTCTTGGCTCATATAATGACTCCAACAACATGCTCATTGGAGAAGCCAGGTATAGATACTCAAAAAACCGGGACAAAGGGATTAATGTACAATTGCTATGGATCCCATCACACGTTGGATTACTCTTTCATGATAAAGTTGATATGTTAGCCAAGAAGATTACCCAGAAGGAGAACGTAGAATATAACTTTAGTATATCTGTGTCTAGCATTAGGAATGATATTAGGAGAGAAGTAAATAATGAAAATGATTATTATATGGAGCAACTTGCAATGTGAACAGACTGACTGATGTTGTAGTGACCAGGCTTAGGTTTGGTTACAAGTACTTCTGGCAGTTGGGAGACACACAGATGATGATCAAAGTAAATGCAAATTATGTGGTCAGGAATATGGTCACTGTCTTGAACACTATGTGCTTAACTGTCCACTTATTGAGGAATACAGAGATAGACAGTATAATAACCTATGTGACATGTCAAGATACCTTATTAATGAAAATAAGATACCAGATATACTAAGCAAATTCCATAAATTTGCTTGTAACAGATAAGTGAACTGTAGATATGTAGATATAAATCCAAATGTGTACCTGTTAACCCTTTTGGGGACTAGTTCCTAGGCCTTTTGTGTATCCATATGCTCTTGTGCTACCATCCACAGGATGGATATTGGGTGCACAATAAACTAGCCACTTCGGTGGGAAAATCTAATCTTATGGGAAAAATTGATTCAGTATTCATACAACTCACTATTGAACAGCATCCTGGAATGGATTAAGTTCGAAAATCTAGGTACCACTGTATACAATCTTCATTATTGATAAGATGAGCAATTAGACACTTCACCTGATTCCAGTATGAATCCTTCCTGCCTATGCTTCAGATTCATCAAGACTAAAGTACCGAACACCTGATTCCAGGTTGAAGGACTGATTACCTCATATTCCACTGTCTTCTGTATATAGTTCTGCAAAGCTGAGAGATCGATTACCTCATCTACTCTCTTCATGGATCATCTCCGTACTAAATAGAAAAAGCCACTGGGTGGCTAAATATAGATCTATAAATTCCTGACAAATAGAACACAAAGAGTAATAGTAAACAGAGTAAAGTCCCAGGCAGCCACGGTAAAAAGCTCTGTTCCACAAGGCACAGTACTCGCTCCCACTCTATTCCTCATCCTCATTTCTGACATAGAGATGTAAGCCATAGCTCTGTGTCTTCCTTTGCGGATGACACCCGGATTACCATGGCAGTGACCTCCATCAAAGACACTGTGAGACTCCAAGCGGACATCAACCAAATGTTCGAATGGGCCACTCAAAACAATATGAAATTCAACGAGGAGAAATTTCAACTACTCAGATATGGGTAACATGAGGAAATGAAAAATGTATCAGGGTATACAATAGAATGAAAAAGTAATGTGAAGGACCTGGGAGTGATAATGTCAGAGGATCTTGCCTTCAAAGACCACAACAATGTATCTACCTCATCTGCTAGGAAAATGATAGGATGGATAATGAGAACCTTCAAATCTAGGGACGCCAAGCCCATGATGATTCTCTTCAAATCGCTTGTGCTCTCTAGGCTGGAATACTGCTGTATACTAATGGCCCCCTTCAAGGCTGGCAACACTGTAGACCTGGAGAGTGTACAAAGAACTTTCACGGCACACACAAGTACGATAAGGCACCTGAATTACTAGGAATGGTTGAAGGTCCTTGATCTGTATTCCCTGGAAAGCAGGTGAAAGAGATACGTGATAATATACACTTAGAAGGTCCTGGAGGATTGGTACCAAACCTGCACACAAAAATCACTTCCTATGAAAGCAAAAGACTTGGCAAGAGATGCAACATTTCCCTGATGAAAAACAGAGGCACCATGAGTACATTGAGAGACCACACACTAAGTGTCCAGGGCCCAATACCAATAGACCCCTGGCTGTCTTTCAGAAGGCACTTGCCGGGCACCTAAAGTCAGTACCTGACTGACCGGGCTGTGGTTCGTACGTCAGCTTGTGTGCGGCCAGCAGTAACAGCCTGGTTGATCAGACCCTGATCCACCATGAGGCCTGGTCTCAGACTGAGCCGTGGGGGCGCTGACCTCCAAAACCTTCTCCAGGTAAACTCCAGGTGTAATGGAGAATGTAGCTAAGTATCAAATAAAAGTACGTAACTAAGAGATAAGATGTAAAAAAAAATAATTTGAACTACTATAAATGATAAGTATATGGATTGTGACTATTAATTAAAACAAAAAAGAATGGGTTACTGAGTATAGTAAACTAAACTTAAAAAGATAACACTTTAGCACCTGATTGAGCAACTGGTATTGCTGAATAATACAAACTGATAAATAATATATTAAAAAAATATATACTAGAAATTAGAACTATATTAGAACAAAGAAGTTTGAAGTTGCTTAATTTGAAAATAAACAAACTAATTATTATGGTTAATTAACAAAAAGTACAGTGCCTGCACTCTGAAGGAGAGGTGTTAATGTTGCAAATGGTGGGAAATGGCCAATGTGTTAACAAATGAAAAAAATAATTACTTTATAATAAAAAAATGAAAGGGGAAAGGGGTAAGTACCATAGGGCATTTGGAGTTGATTATAAAAAAATATATGTATACGTACCCATTTTTACTAGACAAATGAGTACACAATACTTTTTAATATACGGTGTATATAATCTTTTGACTGATAATATTAATATCAAGGTAGGAATTAGAAAAAAAACAAAAAGAACAAGGAATTGAAGTAAGGCACTATATGTTCCGAAATAAAAAGTGGGGCAATTTACGCTATACGTGGTTGATATCGATGACATTGTATTAACCACACTTGGTCAGACCAGCGATTTAGAGGAACCTCGATAGGTCATGTTCGTTTGTTATTTCGTACCCTCAACCCGTGTCTGACTGTTTCACTATGATTGTGCCATCAAGAGTGAAACATTTTTTTAATTCTATCACTATTATCATGTTTGAGTTTACTAAGTCTGTATACAGTAGTAGGTTTTATCACTTTCTTGTTAAACATTCATTAACAAACCCTCCACAATTCGCCTGGATGGAAGAATCTATAAGGTCCTTTTCTCGGCCAAGTGAGTGAAATCTTAGCATTACACTTTGTTTTTGACCCGGTCTGCCTAGCACTCTGGGCTCCTTGATATGGGTAGCTTCATTGTTAATCTGCATCTTGTCTTTGATTAGCTGAAGAGCATTTTGTGTGCAGTTGTCCTGGTTTCTGTCTGTTTGTAAGATGGGACTGTTTGCAATAACAGCTTCCCGGCAAACATAATAATATAACACTCGTACATAAATCCATACTCATACTAAGTGTTTTTTATGTTCTCAAAAGAATATTTTGAATACTCTAAGTAGAGGTACCTGTCAACACCTCTGGTCTATGACTTTATTTCCTTAATTTTTTTTTTAAACTACATGTATATTCCTGGCTAGACAACACTAAAGTTGGGGATCTTACAGGTATGAATCAACCATCGCAGGTCTGTTCTATGGACACACACACAAGGACCACTTCTTGATGTTCTATGACCCAGAGGTGCCGGAGCGAGCCTACCACGTAGGATACGTGGCTCAAAGTCAGACGCCATACCACAATCTCAACCCTGGTTATAGGGTCTACACCATTGATGGCCACTATGAGGACTCATCTTACGTATGGCTTACAATAATATTAGTCACACATTAAATGAAGTATAAATCACAATACTATGACTAGAATAATTTACAACTAACCTACAAATTGTAAATGAAAAGTAGTGGATGTTTTGGTCTCTTGTAGACTTTCTAACTGTCCAGGTTAAGTTGTTCACTTTTTTTTACAACTTAACCTTGTTATGTACTGCAGTATCTCATTAGTAGATCAATGAATAACAACTCTGTATTGAACATGATATAATAAGATACGATTTTTTTTGGAAGTGTACATCAAATTATATTCTAAAATCTCAAAATCATCAATTTTATTAGATCAAGTAACTCACAGAATAATTCCATTAATTAAAGACTAAATTATTTTTTTCAACATGTCGGCTGTTTCCCACCATGGCAGGGTGACCCAAAAAAAAAGAATCACTTTCACCATCATTCACACATCATCACTGTCTTGACAGAGGCGCTCAGATACGACAGTTCAGATGTCACTCCAAACAGTAAATATCACAAACCCCTTCTTTAACCCTTTCAGGGTCCGTCCCGTAGATCTACGGCTTTACTTTCAGGGTCCAAACCGTAGATCTACGTCATGAGCTCAGCTCACTCTGATAAACTGTGAGTGGTACATTTGGGCCTAGATATGAGAGAATACATCTATGTGGTATGTGTGCACCACATAAAACAGATCCTGCAGCACACTGTGCATAATGAGAGAAAAAAAACTGAAATCATGATTTTTCGATTAAAACAGCAACTTTGCAGTGTTTTTTCGTATGTTTTTTATAGTTGTATTTGCGATTTCTTGGTCTCATTTGATAGAATGGAAGACATATTACAGAAATAGAGATGATTTTGATTGGTTTTAACACTAGAAATGGCTTGAAACTGAGCTCAAAGTAGCAGAAATGTTAAATTTTTGCCGATATTCAAGAGTAAACAAACAACCTCACACGTCTAATACACGCCAGCTGGTGGGTCTAATATGCATTCACAAATATGGTGATAATATTTATACAATTATTACAGTATTGCATAACAGTAAATCTTCTATTTTTTGGTGTGAATAAAAATTCATTATGTGAATAAAAAATCAAAATGGAATTTATTTGTAAAGCCTCAAAACATAACTAATGAATAGAGGAAATGTTAGTTTAGTTCCAGGAATACCTACATTGTTTATTCTGGACCCTATTTTGAAATTTGAATATTTTGAACTTTGTGTTAAATTGGCCAAATTAACAATTTCCAATCACTTTAATTTGTAGTTGAAACAGTTGACTTGGCGATTTCTTGTGCTCAATCGATACAATAGAAGTAATACTAGTGAAATAGCTAAGAATTTGGTTGACTGGAATAATGTAATTGGCCTAAAATGGGAGTCAAAATCGGCAAAATCGCCGATTCGTAAATATCGCTGACACATCAAAATTCGCGAGAGCATAATTTCGTTAATTTTCCATCAAATTTCGTACTTTTTGTTATATTACCTTCACAAAAAGATTCTCTATCATTTCATAAGAGAAAAATAACAAATTTTTTTTTTTTAAATTCTTGGACACTGGGGCACCACTTCAGATTTGGGCCTTGGACCCTGAAGGGGTTAAAGTGCAGGCACTGTGCTTCCTACCTCCAGGACTCATGTCTGGCCAAAAGGTTTCCCTGAATCTCTTCACAAAATATTACCTTGCTTACACTCTAACAGCTCATCAAATCCCAAAAACAATTTGTCTCCATTCACTCCTATCTAACACACTCACACATGCCTGCTGTATGTCCAAGCCCCTTTCACACAAAACCTCTTTTAGCCTCTCCTATCATCCTTTCTTAGGACAACCCCTACCTCTCCTCCTCTCCACTACAGATTTTTATACCTTCCAAGTCATGCTGTTTTGCCCATCCTCTCTAAATGACCAAACCATCTCAACAACCTCTCCTCACCCCTCTAAATAATACTTTTAGTAACTCCACACCTCCTAATTTCCACACGATGAATTCTCTGCATAATATTTACACCACACATTGCCCTTAGATGTGACATCTCCACTGGCTCTAGCCTCCTCCATGCTTCACACCACATAAGAATTTTGGTTCCACTATACATACTTTCATACATTCCCTTCTTTTCCTCAGTGGATAATGTTCTTTGTATCCACAGATACCTCAATGCACCACCCACCCTTTTTCCTTCATCATTTCTATGGTTTACCTCATCCTTCATAAACCTATCTGCTGACAAGTCTACTCCCAAATATCAAAACACATTCACTTCCATACTTCCTCCCTCCAATGTGATGTCCAATTTTTCTCTACCTAACTCATTTGATACCCTCATCACCTTACTCTTATCTATGTTCACTTTCAACTTTCGTTTACACACACTTCCAAACTCGTTCACTAACTTTTGCAACTTCTCTTTAGAATCTCCCAAAAGCACAGTATCATCAGTAAACAGTAACTGAATATTTACTTCCAGGATTTATAAGTGAACTTATAAGTGATACCAACAGTGAAAGTATGCCACATTCAACTTCTAGTAAAAAAGCAAAACTTGCAGAAAGTACTGCACATCATTTTATTAATCTGTTCTGAAATTTTTTAATTATTTATTTCTTAATTTTTAATGCAGTTGTCATATCTGGTGCCACTGCTGTCTACATACATGGTTGCTGGAGTGGGCTATGCAGATATTTTTTCTGGAGCATTTTCAACTTGTTACCTTTGTGACAGCGTGTGTTGGATACCGAGAATTGGGTGCTGGACCTTGATGAAGCCAATGAGAATGATAATCCACGTTTCTACCAACTCTATTCTGCCAAGGAGGCCTATGGGTCAGTTCATGCTTTTCAGTTCTTTTATCTCCTTAGGAACCATCAATTCTTGTTCAGAAAAAATAAAATTCTTCTCTCTAAATTTTAATTATCATTTAGAAATCGTCTGGAAAAATAATCAGACAATGGAATTTTTAAGTACACAGGTAAACATAGAATTGAATAGAAATTTCAAAGAGATGTTAACCAAGGAATTGGGAAAGGCACCAGGAGTGGCATCAAAAAGGGGTGAGCAGCAAAGATATGAGGAAGTTTAAACAACAAAAGAGAAAGCGAGATATTCTCCTGTGGGACCAGACAAAATAACACCTTGAGTATTGCTAGATGGAGCTAAGAACATTTTATCCCTGTAAGCATGCCTCCAACAACAAGTGATGGAGTGAATGATGATGAAAGTGTTTTTATTCCTTTTTGGGTCACCCTGCCTTGGTGGGAAATGGCCAATATTTTAGAAATAAAAAGAGTATGCAAAAGAGACTAAAGAAACAAGACAACAATCACACAGTTGGAAACATGGCAGTTGTGATATCAATACAGTACTAGGTATAGAAATTCAAAAGGAAATAGCATGAAGCACTAAACAAGAAACCAGATGTGATGACTGGCACACTGGCAATAAAAGATAATAAGAAAAGTAACAATGGAGCATCTTGAAAAAATGGATACATAAGATACAATCAACATGAATTCAGAGATGGCAAATCTTGTCTGTATCTCAGAGGTTTATGACTGTAAGAAAGCATTTGATATAGTACCACACAAGAGACTGTCAATATATATTGATAAGATGTTTGCTATGTTCCATCTCTCTAATATTTCTTTTGTCTTTAGTGTGTAGCATTGGGTTTACCAAGGCATCAGCCCTCTCCTTCATTATCTATGACAATATTTGCTGTGCCATTGCTTTTTCCTACATTCAGCATTATCAGTTGTTCTTTATCATGTCTTTTGTCACAACTATATTACCCAGAAAATTGTGGGGATGTTCTTCCTCCTCAAGGTCTGGTAGTTGCTCTTATTATTATTATAATGCTAAAGCCATGGAATTGACATACAGCAGATGGGGAATGGGAGGCAATCAGGTTCACTCCAAGGAGTGTATAGGCCCATTTCCTTAGATCAAGAGCCACTCACTGGCATCAAGTCACCTTCCTTGTGGGTATCCTTTTTCAGTTTTTAAAACCTCTTTGAATCTTTTTCTAGCTCCTTATGTACCTCCCATGCAGTTCCCTGACAGCTATGTCATATTCTTGAGGTTTCTGCAGTCTTTCATATTCTATCGGTCTCCAAGAGAGACCAATAGAATATGAAAGACTGCAGAAACTGCAGTTGTAACTTATTTTGTGTCCATGTTTGTGACTAATGTAACTTGTTTGCTTGCATGTGCAGGATGACGGATCTGTTACCAGCATCATGGAATAGCTTGGTGGATCAGATGAAGGAGCCCAACAGCACTGTCTTCGATGAGTTCTTCAAGTAAGTTTTCTCTTACTTCAATTAATTTCTGGTAGTAGTAGGTTGGTAGACAGCAACCACCCAGGGAAGTACTACCGTCCTGCCAGATGACTGTGAAACAGAAACCTGTAACTGTTTTGCATGATGGTAGGATTGCTGGTTTCTTTTTCTGTCTCATAAACACGCTAGATAACAGGGATATCTTGCTACTCCTACTTACACTTTGGTCACACTTCACAGACACGCACATGCATATATATATACATGCATCTAGGTTTTTCTCCTTTTTCTAAATAGCTCTTGTTCCTCTTTATTTCTTCTATTGTCCATGGGGAAGTGGAAAAGAATCTTCCCTCCGTAAGCCATGCGTGTCGTATGAGGCGACTAAAATGCCAGGAGCAATGGGCTAGTAACCCCTTCTCCTGTAGACATTTACTAAAAAAGAGAAGAAGAAAAACTTTATAAAACTGGGATGCTTAAATGTGCGTGGATGTAGTGCGGATGACAAGAAACAGATGATTGCTGATGTTATGAATGAAAAGAAGTTGGATGTTCTGGCCCTAAGCGAAACAAAGCTGAAGGGGGTAGGGGAGTTTCGGTGGGGGGAAATAAATGGGATTAAATCTGGAGTATCTGAGAGAGTTTGAGCAAAGGAAGGGATAGCAGTAATGTTGAATGATCAGTTATGGAAGGAGAAAAGAGAATATGAATGTGTAAATTCAAGAATTATGTGGATTAAAGTAAAGGTTGGATGAGAGAAATGGGTCATAATAAGCGTGTATGCACCTGGAGAAGAGAGGAATGCAGAGGAGAGAGAGAGATTTTGGGAGATGTTAAGTGAATGTATAGGAGCCTTTGAACCAAGTGAGAGAGTAATTGTGGTAGGGGACCTGAATGCTAAAGTAGGAGAAACTTTTAGAGAGGGTGTGGTAGGTAAGTTTGGGGTGCCAGGTGTAAATGATAATGGGAGCTCTTTGATTGAACTTTGTATAGAAAGGGGTTTAGTTATAGGTAATGCATATTTTAAGAAAAAGAGGATAAATAAGTATACAAGATATGATGTAGGGCAAAATGACAGTAGTTTGTTGGATTATGTATTGGTAGATAAAAGACTGTTGAGTAGACTTCAGGATGTACATGTTTATAGAGGGGCCACAGATATATCAGATCACTTTCTAGTTGTAGCTACACTGAGAGTAAAAGGTAGATGGGATACAAAGAGAATAGAAGCATCAGGGAAGAGAGAGGTGAAGGTTTATAAACTAAAAGAGGAGGCAGTTAGGGTAAGATATAAACAGCTATTGGAGGATAGATGGGCTAATGAGAGCATAGGCAATGGGATCGAAGAGTTACGGGGTAGGTTTAAAAATGTAGTGTTAGAGTGTTCAGCAGAAGTTTGTGGTTACAGGAAAGTGGGTGCGGGAGGGAAGAGGAGCGATTGGTGGAATGATGATGTGAAGAGAGTAGTAAGGGAGAAAAAGTTAGCATATGAGAAGTTTTTACAAAGTAGAAGTGATGCAAGGAGGGAAGAGTATATGGAGAAAAAGAGAGAGGTTAAGAGAGTGGTGAAGCAATGTAAAAAGAGAGCAAATGAGAGAGTGGGTGAGATGTTATCAACAAATTTTTTGTTGAAAATAAGAAAAAGTTTTGGAGTGAGATTAACAGTTAAGAAAGCCTAGAGAACAAATGGATTTGTAGTTTAAAATTAGGAGAGGAGAGTTATTAAATGGAGAGTTAGAGGTATTGGGAAGATGGAGGGAATATTTTGAGGAATTGTTAAATGTTGATGAAGATAGGGAAGCTGTGATTTTCGTGTATAGGGCAAGGAGGAACAACATCTTGTAGGAGTGAGGAAGAGCCAGTTGTGAGTGTGGGGGAAGTTCGTGAGGCAGTAGGTAAAATGAAAGGGGGTAAGGCAGCCAGGATTGATGGGATAAAGATAGAAATGTTTAAAGCAGGTGGGGATATAGTTTTGGAGTGGTTGGTGCAATTATTTAATAAATGTATGGAAGAGGGTAAGGTACCTAGGGATTGGCAGAGAGCATGCATAGTTCCTTTGTATCAAGGCAAAGGGGACAAAAGAGAGTGCAAAAATTATAGGGGGATAAGTCTGTTGAGTATACCTGGCAAAGTGTATGGTAGAGTTATTATTGAAAGAATTAAGAGTAAGACGGAGAATAGGATAGCAGATGAACAAGGAGGCTTTAGGAAAGGTAGGGGGTGTGTGGACCAGGTGTTTACAGTGAAACATATAAGTGAACAGTATTTAGATAAGGCTAAAGAGGTCTTTGTGGCATTTATGGATTTGGAAAAGGCATATGACAGGGTGGATAGGGGGGCAATGTGGCAGATGTTGCAGGTGTATGGTGTAGGAGGTAGGTTACTGAAAGCAGTGAAGAGATTTTACGAGGATAGTGAGGCTCAAGTTAGAGTATGTAGGAAAGAGGGAAATTATTTCCCAGTAAAAGTAGGCCTTAGACAAGGATGTGCGATGTCACCGTGGTTGTTTAATATATTTATAGATGGGGTTGTAAGAGAAGTAAATGCGAGGGTCTTGGCAAGAGGCGTGGAGTTAAAAGATAAAGAATCACACATAAAGTGGGAGTTGTCACAGTTGCTCTTTGCTGATGACACTGTGCTCTTGGGAGATTCTGAAGAGAAGTTGAAGAGATTGGTGGATGAATTTGGTAGGGTGTGCAAAAGAAGAAAATTGAAAGTGAATACAGGAAAGAGTAAGGTTATGAGGATAACAAAAAGATTAGGTGATGAAAGATTGGATATCAGATTGGAGAGAGAGAGTATGGAGGAGGTGAATGTATTCAGATATTTGGGAGTGGACGTGTCAGCGGATGGGTCTATGAAAGATGAGGTGAATCATAGAATTGATGAGGGGAAAAGGGTGAGTGGTGCACTTAGGAGTCTGTGGAGACAAAGAACTTTGTCCTTGGAGGCAAAGAGGGGAATGTATGAGGAGTATAGTTTTACCAAGCTCTATATGGGTGTGAAGCATGGGTGATGAATGTTGCAGCGAGGAGAAGGCTGGAGGCAGTGGAGATGTCATGTCTGAGAGCAATGTGTGGCGTGAATATAATGCAGAGAATTCGTAGTTTGGAAGTTAGGAGGAGGTGCGGGATTACCAAAACTGTTGTCCAGAGGGCTGAGGAAGGGTTGTTGAGGTGGTTCGGACATGTGGAGAGAATGGAGCGAAACAGAATAACTTCGAGAGTGTATCAGTCTGTAGTGGAAGGAAGGCGGGGTAGGGGTCGGCCTAGAAAAGGTTGGAGGGAGGGGGTAAAGGAGGTTTTGTGTGCGAGGGGCTTGGACTTCCAGCAGGCTTGCGTGAGCGTGTTTGATAGGAGTGAATGGAGACAAATGGTTTTTAATACTTGACGTGCTGTTGTGTGAGTGTGAGCAAAGTAACATTTATGAAGGGGTTCAGGGAAACCGGCAGGCCGGACTTGAGTCCTGGAGATGGGAAGTACAGTGCCTTCACTCTGAAGGAGGGGTGTTAATGTTGCAGTTTAAAAACTGTAGTGTAAAGCACCCTTCTGGCAAGACAGTGATGGAGTGAATGATGGTGAAAGTTTTTCTTTTTCGGGCCACCCTGCCTTGGTGGGAATTGGCCAGTGTGATAATAAAAAAAAAAATAATAATAATTTTGACTTATCTTATAAAATGAGAAATTGGTGAAGCACAAACACTAGTGTTGTGAATGCTGGGCACAACAAATATTAATGACTATAAGATTTTATTATCTTGTTGTAATGTCTGTTTCTGATGCATGTACGATAGTTAAAGCACCACTGAAATATGGAATATTTTATACAACTACAGTATACACAGACTATAATGAAAATAATATTTGATGTAAATGTTTTAACCCTTAAACTGTCGAAATGTAGAGCTACGTTGATGTGCGTAGTGCTCCGACCTTGATTTTCTTCTTCTGAAAGCATGTAAAAATCGGACGTAGATCTATGTTTGGAGCACTATGCACGTCAACATAGATCTACGTTTGGACAGTTTAAGTATTAAGGGCTTGATATTTTAACTTGACCATTAATATTCTAAATATTTTTTAACCATTCTTACTATGCTGTTTTTTCATAAATTAAACTACCATCTCAGCCTAATAAACCAAATTAAATCCCTGTTCTGAGCAACCTGTCGTAGCCCAACGAACCAAGTATAAATTGTATTAGACTAAATTGTGTGTTCATTAAGAGTAACATTGGTAATTTCTACACCAGGTATTACACTAAGGATGCCAGACCCTATCGTGAGGAAGGTTGTTCTGAAGATTGTAAGTCGTTTATCCTGTGTCGCCTGGTCTCCTCTGATACATCTGACAAATCACACTGTGATGGTCTTTGAGTTAGCAAGCAAGTCATAAATGATGCATCAAACTGTGCTATCATGTTAAGAGTATTAAATGACCATTGTTATTTGGTGATGCAATTCAATGGTAACTAAGGAGATATAATGTGCATATAAGATACTGTGAAGGGATTCACTGTACTGATATATTACTGTGTGAAGTTAACTGTACACTACCAAAATATGACCTTTTAATATCCTTTTAATTTTTATACTTGTGGGAAAACATTAAACCCACAGGGGGTCACAAAATGCTTGAGGAATGGAAGGTAATCAGATTTGATTTAAGAAAGGGAAGAACAGCTCCAGTTATTTGATTCAGGAGCTTTTCACCAGCATCCCATTACCTATGGTAATGGGTATGGGTTCTACATAATATAAAATGTCTTAAATACAGTTACAACTTAAATTTATTTGCACTATGACACTATACTATGTGATCCTTGTGAAGTTTGTCCAAACTCAGGGTTAGTTTTTAAGCTCTTACTTATGTTACCCTCTCAAAGGAAGTACCTCAATGCCTAAAACCTACAAGTCTAGTGCTCTTCCCAAGAATGTAATAATAATAATACTACAAGAGGTTTTGTATGCAAGGGGCCTGGACATGCAGCAGGCATGTGTGAGTGTGTTAGATAGGAGTGAATAGACGAATGGTTTTTGGGGCCTGACGAGCTATTGGAATATGAGCAGGGTAATATTTTGTGTAGGAATTCTGGGAAACCGTTTATCTAGACTTGAGCCCTGGAGGTGAGAAGTACATTGCCTGCACTTTAAAGGAGAGGGTTTTGGATATTGGCTGTTTGGAGTGACATCTAAGCTGTCATATCTGGGCACCTCTGCAAATACAGTGATTATGTGTGAATGATGATGAAAGTGTTGAATGATAGTGAAAGGGTTTCTTTCTTTTTTGGGTCACCCTTGCCTTGGTGAGAGATTACCTAAGTGTTGAAAAAATAATAATAAGAGGCTGGAGGCATTGGAGATGTCGTGTCTAAGGGTAATGCGTAGTGTAAATATTATGCAGAGAATTTGTAGTGTGGAAATTAGGAGGAAATGTGGAGTTACTAAAAGTATTATTCAGAGGGTTGAAGAGGGGTTATTGAAGTGGTTTGGTCATTTAGAGAGGATGGAGCAAAATAGATTGCCTTGAAGAGTGAATAAATCTGTAGTGGAGGGAGGATGGGTAGGGGTCATCCTAGGAAAGGGTGAAGGGTGGGGATAAGAGGTTTTGTGTACAAGGGGCTTGGACATACAGCATGCATGTGTGAGCATGTTAGATAGGAGTGAATGGAAACGAATGGGTTTTAGAACTTGATGAGCTGTTTGAGTATGAGCAGGGTAATATTTTGTGAAGGAATTCAGGGAAACTGGTTAGCTGGACTCAAGTTCTGGAGATGGGAAGTACAATGCCTGCATTTTAAAAGAGGGCTTGGGGATACTGGCTGTTTGGAGTGACATCTAAACTGCCATATCTGGGTGCCTCTGCGAAGACAGTGATATTGTGTGAATGATGGTGAAAGTGTTGAATGATGGCAAAAGTGTTTCTATTTTGGGTCACCCTGCCTCAGTGAATGATTTTAAAGGTGTTTCTGTTTTGGGTCACCATGCCTCCGTGGGAAACAGCTGACATGTTAAAATAATAATAATAATACAGTAGGCACGTGTAAGTATGTTAGATAGGAGTGAGTGGAGATGAATGGTTTTTGGGACTTGACAAGCTGTTGGAGTTTGAGCAGGGTTATATTTTGAGAAGGGATTCAGGGAATACGTTTAACTGGTTATCCGGACTCGAGTCCTGGAGGTGAGAAGTACAGTACCTGTACTTTAAAGGAGGGGTTTTGGAAGATTTATGGTTTGGAGAGGCATCTGAACCAAACCATACCATGGGCCGGGATTGAACTCGTGGCAAGCAAGTCGTAAAACTACCCACCCATGGTACAGTTTGTTTGTTTATGGTTTTGTGAGTCATGACATCTGAACTGTCGTATCTGTGCACCTTTACAAAGACAGTGACTATGTGTGAATGATGGTGAGTGTTTCTTTTTTGGGTCACCCAGCCTCGTTGGGAGACAGCCAGCATGTTGAAAAAAATTCATAATAATAAATAATAATAAAAATAATAATAAGGCCAAAAAAGTCACTACTATATATTTCTTTCCCTGAGAGGATACTTGTTAATTTAATGAATTTCTGGTGTAAAATTGTGCACTTATTTAGTTATGAATAGTTTGATCTCGTCACTTGTCATAAGGCATAAAGATTGTATTAAGTGCTTAGTTTGCTCTCTCACTGACTATTATGCTTAAGCCTTGATCCATATATTTACCACAAGTAAAACTGTGCTTGGAGTACCTTAGTGAAGCAAACCATCCTACTTCAGGCAGTAGACTTATCTTTATGCCCTTAGATAGAGAGATGATGTAAAAGTCTGTATAGTGCCAAGACTCCAGTGGTACAGAGAAGAATCTCAGCTCATTAGATTCATGTTATGCCCACCAGAGAAGAATCTCAACTCATTAGATTCATGTTATGCCCACCAAGCCGAGACCGTGGTTGATGGAGCAAAAGAGTGCTACCTTTACAAGAAGTGCTGGAAGACAGCAACTAACCTGACAGTGGAGAAGTACAATCCTTTACTACTCATACAACTAACCTGACAGTGAAGCACAATCCTTTACTACTCAGACAACTCGCCCAACAGTGGAGAGGTACAACCTTTACTACTCAGACAACTAACCCACCAATGAAGAAGTACAATCCCTTACTACTCAGACAACTGACCTGTCAGCAGAAATATCCATTAGTACGGCATTCCCTAGTGAGTAACATTTATGCACAGCAAATATTTTTCTTTGGCAACAACCAAAGGTCCTAGCAATTCAGTGTACATCATTGCTGGGTTAGTGGATCAGGACAAGTATATGGGAACTGGAGATAATCAAGATGTACAACACAAGATATAAAGCCCCTAAAACTGTGCAAGCTTAATTATGTTCTGGCAACTTTTAAACAAGCAGTTAGTCTTTAGTTTGTGGAGTGATAGTGCTTGACCACTACAGCTGTTAAATAATTACTAGTTCTTTGATAAAGTGGAATTTTTGTTATAATGAGTTTAACAGTAAGTTTTTAATAAAATTTTAATTTGTTTATACAATTTGTGGTCTAAAAAATATTTACAGTTTAAGATTTTTTCGCTATTTCACTTATTATCAGATAATAGTTAATAACAACTTGAACTTTCAGTTTTCTGAAAGATATTTTTAAAACAAACCTAAAATTTATGATCACATGAACATTTAAAAGAATATATTTGTAAACAAAACTTCCTATAAATGACCCAAAGGTTTATTATAAACCTGAGTAACATTCCACAAATAAATTAAAAAAAAAAAATTACTATAAGGGCTATTGTTATATCCACCAAAACCTTTTACTAGCAGTCTTCTCTTCCTTTTGTTGCTGCTGGATTAAGTCAGCATAGATTCCCCCAAGTTTTTTCAACTGATGGTGAGTGCCAATCTGTAAGAAAAAATACAGTATTTAATAGGGCAGTGTTTAAAACATCAAGTACTGATAGTACTGATTTTCAAGCGGGACTTCTTACTTCTTAAGAGCAGTGTATATTAGTTCTAGCATGTGTATAATAGCATCATTTGTGCTTTTATTAGTCCTGAATCCAAACTGACAGGGGTTTAGTATGTTGTGTGAGATGAGGTAGGAATAGATCTGTCTATGAATTAATTTTTCAAAGATTTTAGAGTGCAGAGGTAGGTTAGATAGTGGTCTATAGTTATTCAAGTCAGTTTTACGACCTCCTTTGTGGATCGGGGTGACCCTCACTATTTTGAGAATTGCTGGAAAGGTGGAAGATGCAATGGATTTGTTAACCCTTTCAGGGTTGGTGCCGTACTAGTACAGCTTGCACGCCAGGGTTGGTGCCATACTAGTATGCATAAATTCTAGCGCCTTCAAATCTAGCGAGAGAAAGCTGGTAGGCCTACATATGAAAGAATGGGTCTATGTGGTCAGTGTGCACAGTATAAAAAAAATCCTGCAGCACACAGTGCATAATGAGAAAAAAAAAACTCCAACAGTGTTTTTGCTTTAACCCTTTCAGGGTCCGTGCTGTAGATCTACGACTTTACGTTCAGGGTCCAAACCGTAGATCTACGCCATGAGCTCAGAACACTCTGATAAGCTGTGAGTGGTAAATTTGGGCCTAGATATGAGAGAATACATCTATGTGGTATGTGTGCACCACATAAAACAAATCCTGAAGCACACAGTGTATAATAGAAAAAAACTGAGACCGTGATTTTCGTTTAAAACAGCAACTTTGCAGTGTTTTTTCGTATGTTTTTTATAGTTATATTTGCAGTTTCTTGGTCTCATTTGATAGAATGGAAGACACATTACAGAAATAGAGATAATTTTGATTGGTTTTAGCACTAAAAGTGGCTTGAAACTGAGCTCAAAGTAACGGAAATGTTAAATTTTTGCCGATGTTTAAGAGTAAACAAACGACCTCACACGTCTAATACAAGCCAACTGGTGGGTCTAATAAACATTCACATATGTGGTGATGATATTTATACAATTATTACAATATTTCATAAGAGTAAATCTTCTATTTTTCAGTTTGAATAAAAATTCATTATGTGAATAAAAAATCAAAATGGAATTCATTTGTAAAGCCTCAAAATGTAACTGAGCAGAGGAATGTTAGTTTAGTGCCAGGAATACCTACATTATTTATTCTGTACCCTATTTTGAAATTGGAATATTTTGAACTTTGTGTTAAATTGGCCAAATTAACAATTTCCGATCACTTTATTTTGTAGATGATACAGATGACTTGGCAATTTCTTGTGCTCAATCGATAGAATAGAAGTAATACTAGTGAAATAGCTAAGAATTTGGTTGAATGGAATAATGTAATTGGCCTAAAATGGGAGTCAAAGTCGGCAAAATCGCCGATGTGTAAATATCGCTGACACATCAAAATTCGCGAGAGCATAATTTCGTCAATTTTCCATCAAATTTCGTACTTTTTATTTTATTACCTTCAGAAAAAGATTCTCTACTCTCATAAGAAAAAATATAATTTTTTTTTTTTTTTAAAATTCTTGGACCCTGGTGCGCACTTTGAAATTTGGCCTCTGGACCCTGAAAGGGTTAGAACAGTGACTTTGTAGTGCATTTTTGTATGCTATTTATGGTTGCATTCTAGTTTTCCTGGTCTCATTTTATAGAATGGAAGATATATTACAGAAATTGAGATGATTTTGATTGGTTTCACAATGAAAAGTACCTTGAAATTGAGCTCAAATTAGCAGAAATGTTTGATTTTTGCCAAAGTTCAAAAGTAAACAAATCATGCCATGCATCTAATACACATCAACTGGAGAGTCTAATATTCTTTCACAAGTGCGCTGATATTATTTATATCATTTCTACACTAATGCAGTAGTCTGCATAACAGTAAATCTTCTGTTTTTTTTTTTTGTGAGAATAAAAATTCAAAGTGGAAAGCAAAAGAAATGTAAGAGAGGCCTGGTGACATGGCTAATGAACAGAAAAAGTGTTATTTTAGTGCCAGGAATGTCTGTCTTGTGTATTCTGGACCCTATTTGGAAATTGGCATCTTTTGAAATTTGTGCAAAAATTGGCAAAATGGCAAATTTCTGATCACTTTATTGGATACTTGAAATCGGTAAATGGGTGGTTTCTTGTACTCATTCAATAGAAAAAATTGAGTTCAAGCAAAATGGTTATGATTTTTGTCGACTGGTACATTGGAATTGGCTGAAAATAGGGCTCAAAGTGGGTGAAATCACCAATGCATAAACATTGTCGAGACCGCTAACTTTGTGAGAGTATAATTCCGTAAGTTTTCCATCAAATTTCATACTTTTGGTGTCATTATGATCGGGAAAAGATTCTCTATCATTTCATAAGATTTTTTTTTTTTTTTTTTTAAATTTCCAACCCTGAGAATAAGTTTAAGAGAGGGCCTGCCGACCCTGAAAGGGTTAAAGAGTGTTGCAATAATTGGTGACAGTGTCTCACGAAATTGTAATGACACGATTGCAAACAAACCATACCACAGGCGGGGATAGAATGCGCGATCAGAGAGTCTCAAAACTCCAGACCGTCGCGTTAGCCACTGGACCAGCTAGCCACAATATGATTCGTCCAACTAGGTATATTTCTACACCATAGGAAGGTTAGCATAGGCATCACTGTGACCACAAATGCAAGTTTTTACAGACGAATCTCCAGCTAGCGTGGCCGTGACGAACTCTAGCTCAAGTCCCCTCAAAGCCGTTAACATGACTCATGAAATCGTAATGACACAAATGCAAACAAACCATACCACGGGCGGGGAGAGAACCCACAATCAGAGAGTCTCAAAACTCCAGACCACAAACTTGCATTTGTGGTCACAGTGGTGCCTATGCTAACCTTCCTATGGTGTAGAAATATACCTAGTTGGACGAATCTTATTGTGGCTAGCTGGTCCAGTGGCTAACGCAACGGTCTGGAGTTTTGAGACTCTCTGACCGCGGGTTCTATCCCCGCCCGTGGTATGGTTTGATTGCATTCGTGTCATTACAATTTCATGAGTCATGTTAACGGCTTTGAGGGGACTTGAGCTAGAGTTCGTGATGCTTTTTTGTACATAAAAGGTGGTAAGTTATTTACGTCCCTTGCCTTGTTTTAAGGGTGTTGATGATGAGCGAGACTTCTGTTGGGTTGGTTGGGGCTAGGAATAGTGTATTCGGGTAGGTGCCTGTGAGGTAGTCTGATGGATGGGTGTTTGAGCTTGGGATTTTGCTTGCTAGATACATGTACTTTCCTATGGTGGAGAAGAAGGCATTGAACCTGTTTGTTGTTTCAGTTGGTGGGAGTAGGGGTTTATCTGATTTTGTTAATTTGATTGTTTTGTTTTTGGATATCTTTTTTGTTTCTAGAATTTCGGATAGGGTTTTCCAGGTCTTTTTCATATAACCTTTTATGTTATGTAAGCTATTTTCGTAATACAATTTTTTTTGACCTTCTTATCAGGCTAGCAAGGACTGACGAGAAACGTTTAGAATGGTCTCTAGTTATTTGACCCATTTTGTACTGTTTTTCACATAGGAAGCTTTGTGTTAATGGATTTAAGGATGCTGGGTGTTAGCCAGGGACTGTTCAGTCTCTTAGCTGTGATCTGTTTAGTTTTTTAGGGCAATGCTTGTTATAGAGGTAGTGGTTTTTTTGTAGAAAATTATTAATACATTCATTTGTATCTGTATATATTCCAAGCTCATTATGCCAGTCAACATTATTCATAGCTGTTATAAACTTATTAACAGCTGTCTTGTTATGTAGACTGAAGGTAACTTTAGTAGTGTCTTGGGGCAATTTACCTAGGTTGGTTATGAGAAAGGTAGGGTAGTGGTCTGTGGCATTGTCTGTGATAATGCCTGATTTTAAAGGGGATATGGTGTTAGTCCAGATGTGGTCTAATAAGGAGATACTAGTCTCAGAGATTCTTGTAGGTTTTGTTACTGTTGGTAGCAACAAGCAGTTGCTCATAGTGTTTGTGAATTCAGTTACTTGTGGGTCCTGGTCATGTAGTAGATTTATGTTGAAATCTCCTGAGAGCATCAAGTGGTCTTTGTATGTGCATCAGTTATCATGTTTCCTAACTTTTCACTAAAATGGTAAATATTTGACTGTGGTAATCCACAGAAGTTTATCACTGTGAGGGGTTTTTGCAGGTCTTTTGATTTAAATTTAGCTATAATATATTCTCCATGTTCATCCCTTGTGCAAGAATTATTGATACATTCAAGTTGATCTGAGTAGTACATAGCTGTTCCACCCACTTGCTGTTCTGTCCTACAGTTGTGTATGGCTGTGTAACCAGGAATGGCATAGACATCTGTAGTACAAAGCTTTAGCCAGGTTCCTCTTCAAGGGGGGCTCCTTGGCGTGGTGAAGAAGCTCTTGGTCTGAGGAATTAGACCTGTTGGTCTCCTTCCTCAGACCAAACCTAATTATCCCCCAATCCCCCCTTCCCTATCCCATCCTCCCTTTTTCCTTTCCTCCTCTTCCTCCCCACCCCTCCCTTTTGCCCTTCCTCTTTTTTGGCCTTTGGGCTATTTCCCACGGGCACGCTAGTTCCTGGGTAGGGGAAAGGGTACCGGGGTCCATCCCATTCCATTGAGGTTCTTGGCGGTGGTTAGTTTGCTGTGGAATCTGGATCGCCTGGGGATGCCCCAATCCCTCTCCGGTCTCCCGAGGAGTGGCTTTGGGTGTCTTTCGGGCGATGGGTGTATCTCTGGAGGCTGCCTTTCGGATTCCAGGGGTGGGGGCCAAAGGAGATATGCTTTGTGATGGATATCCGGCCGCCCTCTCTTTTGTCCACCAAGGTAGCTCGGCAGATGTGAGGTTGCTATCCCGGATTGCTGGTTTACTGGCATAAAAGGTAGGGTATGGCACAGGTTCCATGCCGCATCTGTGCTACTTGC